TGGGGAGTGTGCAGGAGGCAGCTGATCGATGTTTCTCTCTCATCGATGTTTCTAACTCTCTATCCCTCTCTCTCCCTTCCTCTCTGTGAAACATCAATAAAATATATTTTAAAAAAAGTATGATGTGACAATTATGACAAGTATTAAATAGTTTTTTTTAATTTTTAATTGATTTTAGAGAGAGACAAAGGGAATGTGAGAGAAAGAGAGAGAGAAACATTGATGTGAGAGAAGAACATTGCCTCTGAACTTGCCCCAATCCAGGGTTTAATGGAAACCTGGATATGTACCCTGACCAGGAATCTAATCCACAAACTTTTGGTGTACTGGGCCATGCTCAATCAACTGAGCCACACTGGCCAGGACAGTATTAAATAAATTAAATAAATAAATAAATAAATATATATATATACTTATATATGTATATATTTATATATACATATATATAGGTATATATATAGTTTTATATATAATATATATTTTGTTTCAGAGAGGAAGAGAGAGATAGAAACATCAATGATGAGAGAGAATCATTGACTGGCTACCTCCTGCACATCCCCAACTGGGGATCAAGTCCACAATCCGGGCATGTGCCCTTGACCAGTATTAAACCCAGGACCCTTCAATCCATAGGCAAATGTTCTATCCACTGAGCCAAACCAGCCAAGACAATGTCAAATACTTTGAAGTCAAACCATTTTCTCTCCTAAATCATACCTAATAGATAAATGCTTAGCTTACCTATATAAAAGATTGATTGACTTCACATCTTCAGAAAGTTTAATTTAGTGCATTCTTTTTTGAGAAAGCAATGACAATATTATAAATATCCATGACACTTTTTAAAGAGCTCAACATGAATTATGCCAGTTAATTTTCACAACAAACATATGAGAAAGTGCTATTATTGTCATTTTACAAATGATAAAACTGAGTACCTGATAACTGAAATAACTTGTACAAGACCATAAATTTTAAAAAATGGTCAGGATTCAGTTCTTTTCAACTTTAGAATCTTTGTCCTAAAATCCTTACTACTTTCCTATGGATATCAAATATGTGTGGTGTTTCTTTAGCAAGTTTCCAAGCAAAGTTTTTTAAAGATAAAATAGACAACCAGTGATCTTAATGATTTGGCTACTTTCTTATATAAAAACTAGAGGCCCAGTGCATGATATCCATGCACTGGTGGTAGCATGGAGGGGTGGATGTCCCTCAGCCCAGACTGCACCCTCTCCAATCTGGGACCCCTTGGGGAATGTCCAACTGCCAGTTTAGGCCTGATCCCACAGGGATCCCTCTCACAATCCCTCTCACAATATGGGACTGCTGGCTCCCAAACACTCCCCTGCCTGCCTGCCTGATCAGCCCCTAACCACTACCCTGCCAGCCTGCTTGACACCTAACTGCTCCCTTGCCAGCCCAATCTTCCCCAACTGCCCTCTTCTGCCAGCCTGGCTGCCCCAACTGCCTCCCCTGCCAGCCTGGTCACCGCCAACTGCCCTCCCCTGCTGACCTGATTGCCCACAACTGTCCTTCTCTGCCAGACATCTTGGGGCAACCATCTTTTGACCACATGGGGGCGGCCATCTTGTGCGAGGGTGTGATGATCAATTTGCACATTATCTCTTTATTACATAGCATACTGGGGTGGATAAGTTATCTTTGGAATTTCTTTCTGACTTTGTAATGGTAGAGATTAACTGAGAGTTAATTTTCATGCCATGAAGAAATTTGCACACTGTTATTAGATAAAAAGATCCACTTGTTATGCAGGCTTCAGTGAAAAACAGGGTTGATTTTTATCAATGTAAGATTGCACAGTGGGAATAGTCATTGTGCACACAGAAGAATAAACTAAATTACCTCTATGCTTCTTTCATCTATATGAATGCATGAGTGATATTTTAACTACTTTTCCTTGAAAATATACATATGATGAACATTAAGAGAAGATACTTTGTCTTTTCAGAAATTCAACAATTTCTTTAAGACAGTAGCACTGCCATTTTTCTAAGAAAAAAAATAATTTTAAGAAAATTAATCCGTAAATTTAAGACAATGAGAAAAAGGCTAGTATTGACATATGATAGTGAGAAGCTAAGAAAATTCCTTGGCAAATAGATTGGGGAAACTGAGACAGATAGCTGAACAATTTGGCTGAGCAATTTACAGTCATATCCAGAAGGCCATCTTTCTAAAGATAACATCTAGGCCTCAATTTTGTTTCAGCTCCAGGCCCAGAAAAGCAACAAAACCAGGTGGGTGACACTTGGACCAGCTGCCTATGACCAATGATCCCCTGCTCTGGTGCTGACCAATCAATAAAGACCACGACTCTGAAACAGCACACCTGGAAAACTAATGATTATTTTGCTCAAACCCTCCACTGAGACGTTCCCTAACATTTCTGTCTGCAATAGAATGAGAGAAAACCCTCACTACAAAGAGCTCAGCACATGCTCTTCCTTCTGACAGCACAGTCTTTCCCTTCCCCTCTCCTTCCCCACAGGCACACATCTAAACTCTAAGGGCCCTAGAGATGTGCCACCAGGGGAGCCACCACTTGCAGTGGCAGCTGCTACTGGGTTAATCCCCTCAACCTGCCATCAACACCTCCTTTTCTCTGACTTCCCAGTGAGCCAAAGCAGCCCCATCTTAGCTCATTTATTTCCTATAACATTTCTAGAGAGCCAAAGCTTCACCACATAGGTCTGTCCTGTCTCAAGCATGTCAAACTTGCAGCTGGCGGGCTGCATGCCTCATTTATGGCTGCGAGTTTGACATGCTTGTATTTTCCTAGCTTTAATAAATGTACCCTTATTAATAAATGGTGTCACCCACCTGGATTTCCGTTGTGAAATTTTTCCTGCATGAAATCAAGGACTCACACACTACCAGTTGGTGCTATGCAGACCTGCTCTGGACTAGGCCAAGATAGTTTTTAATTTGGACTGAGTATATTATTATTTATTTATTTATTTATTTATTTATTGTTTGCAATTTCCAACAGTTTATTAGGGGATAGCCTAAATTAGTAGTTAGTGCAAAAAGAATGGTTGTATTTTCCCATTCATCGATTTTGTTGAACATTAAATCTGCAAATCTGCATTCATTATATTTTCAGGAAATGTGTGGTTTTAGTTACTATTTTCCTATTTCAGAAAGATAGTAGGAATTATAAAATACCAGGAGAAAAAAAAATATATCCTCACTAGAATGAAGGACTAATAAATCAGAGATAAACAGTTTAGACATAGTCTTGTCCAATGTTAGACACTTGTTATTTTGCTGGTAGCTATATAATGTAAAACTTATCTGAATTTACATTTTTATAGAGCTTTTAGGATGTATTAGATCAACTCAAGCTGTTTTTCCACAAAAATGTCCATGATTCTTAATGCTTTCGAAGTCAGAATCCAAAAACAAGATCACTAAATGTGGAGAGCGGCTAAAGCGCTTGGACAAGCCTCGGAATAATGAGAGGGCACAATCCTCTCATGGCAAAGCCACATGCCAAGTCCCAGCACAATTATAGGCAAAGGCTATAGTTGTAAGCTTGAGCTTTTGGTCTGAGCCCGTGGTCCCAGGAGGCTGAGTGATGTGGGCTTGATAGAGTTCAGGTGCATGTAATTGAGTAAGATTCAAAACCACGAGAACATAGTAAACATCTTGACCACGCCCTTACTTTGCCTTGTGGAATCTGGTTATAAAATAAAGACTCAGCTTGCAGGCCATGGCACTGTCTCTCTAATCAGAGGGCAGCATCCCACCTAGCCCCAGCTTTATTCTCTTGTCTGTCTTTTCTAATCCTTCACCGTTCTCCCTCAAGTTCACCCATGGCCATGCTGGCTCAGAACAACTAAATTCATCTGTGAGTGACTATTTTCTTTTCTTTGGTTTTCCATTATTTTATTAGTGAAAAGTTTATATTGAATTATAAATATGACTTCAAATATGTAAAGTTTATTGCCTTTGGTTTGCTTAAAATTTCCTGAGAAAACACTCATGATTGAGGCATTGAAACCTATGATGTTGTGAGGAAGCAGAGTTAGCCACCCTAAAATATACCTTTTGAGATAGTGATTAAACTGCTTATTTTTAAGAAACAACAGACTCAGAAATATTTTTTAAATGTGAATGCATTTTTTTAACAATATATGATTTTTATAGATTTTAGAGAGAGGAAGGGAAAGGGATACAGAGATAGAAACATTGATGAGAGAAAAACATCAATTGCTTGTGTCCCTGTATGCCCCCCACCAGGGATCGGGCATGAAATCTGGGAATGTGCCCTGACCAGGAATAAAACCAGTGACCTCCTGGTTCATGGGTCAGCACTCAACCACCAAGCCACACCTGCCATACTCAGAAAGAAATTTTGACCTTTCCCCTTACCAGGCTAAAGGAATTCAGATAGAAAAACCTGCTTAAAAGAAGGGAGTTTTCACCTTAGCATCACAATATAAACTCAGTTTAGTAGACAGAGAGGGACCTGCAAAGTCAGCTTATAGGATTGCCCTGTATGTCTTATTATTTCTGGGAGGTCCAGAAAGAATGTGTTTACCAAATATTTGCTCATTTTCGTCGACCTATAAATTGCCTCCTTTCCCTTTGAACCCCAGATCTCTTGATTCACTCTCCTTAGTCCATAATAGCATATAAACCTCAACTGCCCAATTTGTTCTGCATCCCATATTCTTAGAGAAACCCCGGAAGTACTGTTGGAACTCAAAAATATCTGAGCCCTTCAATAGAAATAAATGATAGTGATTTATTCAAGGATCTTAGAGTTTGCAAACTGTAAACACAGCTAGGCAAAAAACCTAGTATTGTTCCAAAGAGGAGAGACAAGTTTAATATATGTCAGGTCAGTGTATATGTGAGTCCTTTAGAAAGTAATCAAGTAATCTGGGTCCATAAGTCCTTTAGGGGGCAATGAGAGGGGTATCTGGAGGTCCAGGTGCATTTAGACATTGACTCAGGCCTGTTGAGTTAAATTAAAAAATAATAATAGTAAGTTCCCAGACTAGTTAGAATAAGAATGGGACCTTTTCTCATGCCTCAACCCTCATAATGTGAATAATTTTAGCAGCTTGATTAAAGTGACCCCATTTAATATATTTCCTATCTTCACTCTTAACTCATTACATACTTAGTACATTTGGTTATTGTCTCATGTTAATCTGTATCATGTTAATTTGATTATTAGAACAGCCAGAAGAACTTAAAAGGGTAAAAAGAAAATTACTTTTTCTCCCCTGCAGATGCTTTCTTTTACTTTTTACTACTTTAGTTCCAGGAGATGTTCTATAGGCACATCATGTGGTTTCTAAACATTCCTGGATTAACTAGGGGTAAACCTATAAAATACTGTTTCTGTCTGCTGTCCTTTCCTTGATAACTCTATTTGCATCTCAGCCATAGAACAAATGAAAGGAATGAAAATAATTGGACAGAAAATCCTATCACTTCTCCCAAATCTATGTATGTGAAAAATATTGAGTCTTTTCATAACTCTTTAAAGCCATAAAAATTTCACTATGCAACAAAATAACTGATAACTAAGATAACATCCCCATCCTGCTTTATACACATTCAGTAAGAACTAAATATTTTCCAAAACCTGCAGTTTGATTGAAAAAAATAGTTCGTTAAAATATTAACAATTTTTCACATTTGACACATAGTTAAAATAATAATTTAGTGTTGTCCTTATAACAATTCTCTATTAATAATACATACTCTGTAAGTACATGGTGGGGCAAAATAATGTACAGTTTATGTACAGTTGTGAGTACATAAAACACAAAGTTTATTTTTGCATTACTGATACTGTTATAATTAACCTAGCTATTAATAACAAGAAAGGAGTAAAAAGAAGGTCAAATATTACAGGCATGTCATTTGGGCAGCCTCACTAAGAAGCTACAACTTTACACTCACCAGGGATCCAACAAAGGGGAGATAGACACATATTCAATAAAGTTGGGGTGACATAGGGAAGGTACTTGCTTGTCAGTCAAACCTGGGTCATTGGCCAGAACGAGTATGGCCACTGTAAGGGCACAAAATTTTAAATATTTAAACCCTTGAACA